ACTAACAACAGCTTCGGTCAACCTACATAAAAGCTACCAACTACGCCTGAAGAATGGGAAGATTGAAGTTTCTGCCTTCCACCGAGCTCAGGGGTTTCCGTTGTGCTGTGGAGCTATTGACGGGACACTGATAGCAATAAATCGGCCTCAAGAATTTGAAGGCTGGTACAATCGCAAAGGTAGTATATTGTTTTATTTGTTTATTAAATTAATGTCCATCGATAGACATGCTAACTCAATTGCTGTATTTCTAGGCTTCCCCTCGTTAAATGTGCAAGCCGTATGTGATCACCGGAAAAGGTTCATATCGTTTGACGTTCGCCCTGGGTCATGGAGTGACGCGAAAATATTTGAATTCTCGGTGTTTGGCAGAAATATTGAGCGAATTCTATCAACAGGACATCATATCCTCGCAGATGCCGGCTACGGTGTTTCTCCTGCAGTGATGACCCCATACAACGAGAAGGATGAAGGAGGTTCCCTCACAAATGTGCAGACGAAGTTCAATTACAAGTTATCTTCGACCCGCATGGTGATTGAAGGTGCATTCGGCCTACTCAAAGAACGCTTCAGAATTTTTAAAAAGCCTCTTGAAGAACGCACACCTCGAGCTTCGGTGCGCGTCGTCGTCGCTTGTTTGGTTCTTCACAACCTTCTGATAGACTTTCAAGACACAACCAATTTCGAGTTGAGCGGTGCTTACAACTCTGGTGATGAGGAGCGTATTCATCAAAGTCAAACCAACAGGGAAAAGAAACTAAAAAGTAGATTAGGTTGTCAAAAACGAGATGATATTGCAGCAGACTAAACTGCTTAATCAATACACTGTTTTCGTGCTGCATCGTTGACATTCACTGGCACTCAACTTAATCCCTACGCTGTAAAGCCGCTATTAGCTGGGAAAGATTCTGATTTTGAAGTTGCATTTACACCAACTGTTCATCCTGACGCTGCATCATCGTACGGAAGCGGCTGTCGATCAGGTCACCTACGGCGGTGTCCATGCCTTTCTCCGCCTGTTGAGTTGGTGCCATGGCTGCCGCCATGGCCTGAAAGCCTTCCGCAACCATTGCATCCCGATTTCAAACGATTCGCCTATGGTTTTTCGCTTCTTGTTCTTTTGGCCTGATGTCTGCTTCCCCAACTCCTCCTCCTCCTCTTCCTCGTCGCATGACAAGAGTGGACCTCCGTCGGCTTCACTATCGGCTAGTGTGTGGCCATCCATGCCAGCAGAGCTAAACAAATTGTAAAACAAATAAGTTTTCAACTCGTAATAATATGACGTTTACATGCTTGCCTAGCCCAGAACTGCTCCATCAGATCCAGCCCTGTTGGGTCTGCAACGTTGTTCTCTCTGTTTCCGGTAGCGCGACAGTCAGCCTTGTACTCCGCCCACTTGCGCTTCAGCCATTTCAGCTGCACAGCAAGACAACACGTACTTATTAGTTAATATTAGAGCATCATTAGCTTCATAGATGCTTACCTTGTTTTTGCATTGCTCGGTCGAGATCGGTGTCTTCTGCCGCTCACTCATGTCCGTGGCGAGAAGGAGCCACGTTACCTTGAGGGCTGCATTGTTTTTTGCGCTGCTAAAGCGGTCCGCGTAGGTGTCAAAACGCAGCGTCATCAGATCCCGCACCATGCTCTCGGTCCAGTCAAGTATAGCCGAAGGCTTCTTGCCACTTGAAGCTGGCAGCTTCTTGGATTTATTCCCCTTCCTACGCTTGGGGACGGGTCCTCCGCGGTCGACCGCAGAAGGACTCGACCCCGCGGTGCCACCCAAAGAGCCCGAGAGGTTGGCATCCGCTTGAGGGGGTAGCGTGGCGCTGGCCGCTAATATGTCACTGCTACCGACGAGCAATCCGTTAATCTGGGCTGCTTCTGGCGCGGGGTAGCTGACGATGTCATGGATCTCTGCGGACCCGCTCACCGGACGCGTAGGGGGCATAATGTACTTGAGCGCGCGAAGTCTAAAGTGAACACTGCCAACGGTTTTACAAGCGACGACAACCACTGAAAACCAGACAGCGTCTTGTTCTGATACCTACCCCTAGCGAGAACCAGCACCAGCCAGCGCGACCAGCCCCTTAATGAACCTTGAGAAACATGATATTCTGTCGTACATCATAATTCAGGTTCACCCAGCCCACTCCCATGGATATTGCTCAAATGACAAACCCGATACGAAATTTTGAGGACAGCAAGTGTAAATGTGTAGCCTACGACTATGAAGTGGCCGTGGAAAAACTTGTACACCGATCACTCTAATTAGTCAGACCCTGACTAATAATGGTGACGTCGGTCCGCCGTGAAATATACGCACGACTATTTTCAGTGAGTGACTACATGTAATACAGTAGTGCACCCCGTTTTCGCGGGGATGGATCATATAGGATTTGCAAATAAATCAGACTTTAGCCTACAAACAATTGTTGATTTGGATTCAGGATCATCACATTAGGAAGTTTATCAAAGGTCCTAGGGCGCGAAAACGGAGTGCAGTACTGTAGTGGTGCACGACTAATAACTAGCCGAGCGCCACCGCTACGCGGCGGTATTTTAGGTTGAGTTTTACTTGCTTTTGCCTCCGCTACGCTTCGGAGGGATAACTATTGAAATAGCGCTGAACATATGTGTATATAAATCGATTATTTTTAACTTCATCAATTTGGGTCAGCATATGCCTACCGGATTTAAGAAATAAATATTCTAATGATCTTGAATCAAGATTCTTGATGCAATCTCTTTCTTATTGCTGGCTATTACTGTATCTTCATCTTCCACCCAAAACCACCTGCACTTCAAATAACATTTATACAAACGCTACACAATATGTTTAGTTTAGCGTCGTGCTCGATATCACGGACCATTTCTGAGCCGCTATGAAACTTAGCTCACATGATAGTAATGGTCTGTACAGCTTGCACTTCTTACCTGCTTGTACTGCCTATTTGAGCTTGTAAGTAACTAAAGATTGCTCACTTCACACACAAAACTCAATGAAAGCTAGAAAATATTCAAATTGTAATATTTTTATGCATGCAGCGTTCGTTTTGTGCTGATTCAGAATTAGTCAATAGACACTCGATTCTGTACCAGTTATGATTAAAGCATTTGGATAATGTGGCGCAAGACGCCTTGCTATTGTTGTTGTTGACGGTGCAGTAGTGCTTTCAATTTGATAGTTTAACGATAATTTCAGGATGGCTAAACGTCATTTAGGCTCCAAGTTTATTAACGTTTCTTTATGGTGTCTACTTAGCCAACTATAATTAACACCTCTCGTGTTTTGTTGTTGTATTGCCGCTCCATTTAAAATCGTATCCTACGCCCCTGTCGGCGACACGTCCGCCAGTTAAGTAGTATCGGATTTTGTTGCCTAACAACTCTTGGAAAACAATTGCTTACAGCAGTCTCTTAGAAAACAATGGTTACAGCAGTAACACATATGAGTTCATTCTATTCAATCTAAAACTGTTTATCTGTATGGATCAGGTGACAACGTTTATTCCAGGCTATCCATTATCCGATGTTTAAATACTACGAAGTTTTATTTTGTACTTTTTTAATATGGGATGTTGCTATTACTGTTTGAGTGCTACTTATTCTCAAATGAAATAGCCCCTAAAGACGCTTCCTATGCTGCAAGGTGCTTAGCGTACACGTAGGAATGTGTGTTTTCGAGGCCATACCATAATATACGTAATACTATGTTCTTAATCGTTTCTGCAAGTTACAATGACTAAAATAATAGCTACAACTGTTTTGTTGTTGAAATATTAAGAACATATCTGAGTGTGAGGTAACTGATTGAGCTGCCAAATAGTAGGTCGTAAAAACACCGCTGTGCCTGCAAATCACCATATGTGCTCTGTGAACCACATGAATTTCCTGATGTAAGCTACATAATTTAGTTTAAACCAATTACAGCCGCCTTCGCTCCGCTCGACAGCCAATGATAAAGCTCAAAAATCTGAGCGTTTCGTGTGACGGACGGACGGACACCGTGCTAGCATTGATAGTTCCAGCACTAGCCGTTCGCCGCCGCTACGCGGCGGAGTGGCATGGTTTGTTGGAGATCAGGTGGCCGCAACTAAAGGTGCTTCTTGGTGTCGCGTGCTTTGAGAGCGTCGTTCACCCCAGTACGTCGTGGCTTCGTGAAGTCAACCACTTAGCTTTCCGTAGTCGCATCCGGCCCCATATAATTTTGTGGTTTGGAGCGTTGCCGCTACCCCGTACTACAGTTTGGATGTTGTGTCCTTCAACGGCCCATGCTCTTCCGTGCTCTTCCTGGCTTCGTTGTTCCCTGCTCATCCGTGGCACACGCTGCTTATTGGTTATGCGCTCTCTCTTTTGGATTCATGCTCTTTAGTATTGCGTTTTTCGTGGCTGCTACATATTTCCTGTTCTCAAACGTTTATGAGGGCTACACCACTTTCGTAGTACGTAGTCTTTCGTGGCCGTTGCCCTCCAATCACCGGTACGCTTGCCAAAATGTGCTATTCCGTGGTTTCGTGCCTCCCCGCTGTCGTGTTGTTCCGTCGCCCGTGTATCGTATCCTCCTGGTGAGGTTCCATCGACCGCGTTATCCCGCTATCGTGGAACCGCGGTGTGGTTTTGCCGTATACGGTATTGTACCCGCGTAGTGCATCTGCGTTGCCCGTGTTATCGTGTTTTACAATGGCATCGTGCTCCACGGTGTGCAATCGTGGTCAACCCGAGCACCTCGTGTATAACCTGGCTGGTCCGCCGTCGTGCAATCGAGTTCTATTCTACTACTGAACTCCGTGGCTCGGTAAGCTCAGGATCTACACTGGTATCGATCTCCGCGGCTCGATGATTTTCAGGCTGTAGCTCCGCGGCTGCGTTCTCCCATGTTTAGTGGCATAGTTAGTGCTATCATACTAACTTCTGGTGTCGGGGTTGGTCTGTCGTCTGGGCGATCGCTAGCTACCGTGGTATCGTGCTGTGGGTCTCCGTGAGCTTCGATTCTACCCTAATAGCGTGCTTCAAAGCTCGGTGATTTCCCGCTTATGCTCTCTCGTGGCTTCGTGTTAGGTTCATCGTCTGTGCTTCATGTTCTACCGTGGTGTTATGGGAGAATTGCTTTCCGTGCATCTTACCGTTTCCGTGGCCCGTGTTTTTCAGCATGTTGGGGTGTCATTACTTCATTTACTTTCCGTGATCCGTACGTTCCCATCATATTCTTGCCATTCCAAGTTTTCATGGTAGCATGCTCGTCCGCGGTTCGTGCTTTTCAGAATTGCTCACTGCCTTCATTGATTTAGTCCTCTTTCAACGTCCGTGGCCTTCCGTGGTTCGTGCTCTTCCCTCTACCCCATCGTGCACATATTGTGCCCTGGTGCTCCTCCGTGTTTCGTGTTCTTGTTTATCCACTTGCCTCCGCGCTAATTCAATCGCAAACGCTGCTTTTATTTTGTTTGATGTATGCTACATATCGTGTTGGAAAGTGCGCACAATATCTTAAGGTCGTACACTACGCGCGCGAATACAAAGGAATACGATCCTTTTTTTTCGGCGGCGGAGTGGTGTACATGGTTATGTGGGGTGGGATGGTGGGAAGCCACTATATTCACATTTTTAAAACGTCTGCAAGCAAAATATGAATTATGTTTCCAATAGTACTACGAAAATCAGTATTGTAAGTTAAATTATTACAAAAGTACTACGAAGCCAGAACAAATCATATTTTTGCCAATAAGTACTAACGTTTCGATTGAGGCCGAAATATGAGTCACCAAATCCTACAATTTTTTTCAACAGCTCCTACGACGATATAGTACGTGTGTGCTTATCGGCGCCTTATACTAATGCTAACTAACGCGCACACAGGCAGCGCCCTTCGCGTGAGGTGGCGAACCGCAGCTGAAAATGAGAGCAAAATGAAATTTGAGCGGTGCACTTAAGTACGATGTGTAGACCACATAATGCGATTTAAGCCAATCGACGCCGCCTTCGCTGCACTCGGCAGCCAGTAGAACGCGCGTATTAGCGTGAGTTTTATTAACCCTATTCATGGCTAAAAGTGCAATTTTTGCATAGTCAAGCCGAGTCACAAAGATAGGTGCAGTCGAAAGGATTGGAAGATATAGTACCGAACAGGTGGAGTGTAGCCATGTGCGAGGAAAGGTTCATGCTAGCAAATAGGCCCGTAACGGACGGACTGACGGACAGACACCAGACTCCACTAGATTGGGTAGATTGTGAAATCTGAGCTAATATACTAAGCTGTTGCTGCTGAATTTGCTTCAGTGTATCCTTGATGAAATCCTACTGGATAGCGATAAAAAAAATTTCCGAAGCGACTTTCTCAGTTGCTCTAATTTCCAAGTACCGTCGCTACTATCATCTATCCCACGCTGCACCATCGATTTTTTTGGCTCAATTCGTGCTGTTCTTGTCCATCTCAGCATTGGCCAGTCGAATGCATTCTGCGGCAGTCTCCAGGTAAAATTGTTTGCCTGGGTTTGCCAATGCTCCAGATGACTTAGGTCCTTGCATCCATTATCCACGTCTAATTGCGTCAATATTTCTTTTCTCGCAAATAACGCGCCAGTGGACCTAGATTCGCTGTATTGGAAATCTATCAGCAGGTTGCACAAAATCAGTAGCATTAGGCGAAAAAAAAAAACGGATGCGTGTTCGCAACTGTTTCCCCAGTGCCTGTACCGCTCCACTGGAATGTCCGCTTGCGTTGTCCATCCAAAGGTCACGCTCTGCAGCGAACGGTCCACCAGGACCCCAGCACCGCACTTCTTGGAGCCATTGTTGCATCAGGGCGCTGTTGATAAACGCGCTCGGTGAAGAACGGTACGCAACCCCCGCAATACTACCAGGAAGACCTTAAATAGAATAACTGGACTTCTTGTTTTTGAATATGAGCATGGGGTACATAATTTTTGGGTCCGAACATCCCCGAAGCACACA